TAGACTAAACACTTGTGTTTTCGTGTTATAATCTGTAGTCATTCTAGAACGAGAAAAGCATAATTTAAATTTATTTCCTAATTTTTTATGGTAGTTACGAGGCCGGTCAAATTGACAGACCCCATAGAGTTAAGGCAGAGAAAATAACAGTTTTACTGAAAACAAATGTTTGAAATGTATTTAGCAGGTTTTAGAGATTATACAAATAATATTTGAGATTTTTGGGATGAAAAATAGTTTTTTAGTTATAACATGAAAATCACTTCACACTTGGACTGTAATGAATAAGACTGGATATTTTCACAGACAATGCTATAATAAAAGTAATTCATTAAAAAATCTGATTTTGATATGATTTGTGTATGAAAGACTTGTAATCTTTACTTAAAGACTACCAAATTTTGTGAAGATACACTTACTGCATTAAAAGTTATAGTATAAATACTTACCATGTGCAAATGTGTACACAAAATCGTGTATATTATACCGAGCCTGTTGTGAAAGGGTTAAGCCTGTTCTCTAAGTTTATACCAGTCTCACTACATATGACATGTTACAAGAATGACAATCTATTTGATAAATTACATTCCTTGTGTTGTTATTATTGTATTTCTTAGTTAAGAAACTACCTATTTTCTATCTGGTTTTGTTACAAACTTTATGTTGATATTTAAATAGTATTTTTTTGGGAAATGTTATTCCAAATTTTTATCAAATTTTCAGTGATACCTGGAAAGTGAAGTAGTGTGCAGAACATAATGTTTTTATTATCACGATCATGACCCCATTATCTGTTCTGAGTAGGACAGATATGTTTTACCAGATTGTGTGGTAATTATTGATTTCAGTGAAGTTCTCCATTACATGTTGTTCTTCTCTTTCAAGTTTACCTGGAGTATTACAGATGGCTCTTGCATTACTATAAAATGTTTTAATAAAATCCAGTTTTTGTTTGTAATCATGTGCTGATGACCATGGAATAAACACATCAGAGTGAGCACTTTTTTTTTTATAAACTTTGGTAATGAATGAATATGAATGTTTATTTTTGGACCGAAACACGAAAATATACAACAGAACCATTCTTCTCCAGTGAATTTAATAGTAGGAGACAACTCATTAAGGTGATTGTGGAAAGGATGTACAGAGTTGGGGTCTATAAATCCAACAAATGTGTTTCATAGCATAACCAAAAATACAGTGTATGTAATTAAGTACTATGAGCTATCTGTTCTAGTTTAGTCATAAATATGTTAGCAAAAACATGGGCAATAGGGCTAGTCATATTAATGCCTTCAATATCGCACATCACAGTATCTTTTCAAAAGTGGGTCTAACCCAAAGAATCGAAATTAGAAACAATTACTCCAGCCTTTTTTGTCAGTTTAATTAACAGCCCACGATGTTAAAAATTTATATTAAACTACTTTCATTTAATAATTTTGGTGAACAATGCAAATAAAAGCAAATAATAAAATATACTTTTATGAATTTCTTTTTCGAATATTTTTAGCATGTTATTATTATTTTTTAGCTCATTGTTTAATTTTAATGTTATTGATGTAATACTGCTGGAAAGTCACTTGAATTTCTCACGTGCTTTTGTCAGTTTAAATTTAAAATCATGATTGTTCTCTTTCAAACCATTGTATGTCAATACTTGAAAATGCCAGGTTAACCTGGTGAAGGGTAGTGTATTTATATAAATCTTATTTCCAATAATTTGATGACGAGGAACCCACTTTGAGACTAATATTGGTTGGAGATGGCTTGAATGGGTAATGAAAAAAAACTTTAAAATAATTTTAACATAACTAGTAAATGTACAATGTTTCGACAAGGTTTTGTCATCATTACATTGACACAGATATATAATACAGTATGGAACAAAGAGGTCACATGACCGGATATTGTTGCACGACTTAGAGGGGATATCTTGGCACCCAAGGGTGTTCATTTAGAGTAGGGTTGTTTTGTTCAATTAAGATGGATTTCTTGATTTTTCGTTTGTTTATGTTTGGTTCTTTGTTTAAAAATTATTGTGTTTTTAATAGATATACTATGGTTTTTTGAGTTGCAATGGTGGAAAATATGGGACTTTTTTTATTGTGTTCTGTGAATCTGATTTCCAATTTTCTCCTGTTTCTCTGATGTAGAATTCTGGGCAGTTATTGTATATTATTTTGTAAATGATGCTGGTATTGTGTGATTCTAAATAATTTTTGTTTAGCAACGATTTTATTTTTGCCGGGTTAATGAGAGAATTTGACGATGACAGGAATATTGTGTTTAATGGCTAGTATTGTCCAAGTGTGGATAATTCTTGAGCTGGTTACAGGAACAAAAGGTAAACTGCAGTGTAATGTACTGTTGTTGGGTTTGTTAATATCAATTTTGTTCGCGAGTTGAGTTTTGTTGTGGTGAATGTTGGAAAGCTTTTCAACAATAGCTGGTGGAAATTTGTTGGTGTGAATGAAGGAATGCTTTATGTGGTTGATTTCTTCATCTATGTAGTCCGTTGAACAGAGTCTTGTGGCTGTGTTTATAAGGTTTTTCAATGTAAAGTTAATCTAATATCTCCTTGAGTTACCAAACTCTTTCTAAATCACAACCTGTTTATATATATGAACATAATCAAGTAGAAAATGCATAAATATCCATTTAGATAATATAGATCTTTGTGTGATTTTAAAAGAAAACTAAAGCATAAAAAATTAACCTGCCATTTAATTCTATTGACTCTTGCATTAATTGTTTAATAACCAATAAAGAAATTCATAATAATGATACGAGTTTTATCCATATTTGAAATTTGTACTTATTATAAAAAATCTAGAACAAAGATGTTGATGTAACTGCAATTCATTATTTGTTCTTTATACCTGGACTTTACAGGCTTCACTTGAGGCTCCTCAAGCAATTCTAAACATAGTTATGTTTGCAATGCTACAGATAAATAATGAATTTCTGTTCTTTCGTTTTACAAAGTAAGAATATTTGGTATTTTTAAATGCTGTTTCATGCATGAAACTAACTAATCAAACAGGGTAAGAAAATAATTAGTTTAAAACAGCCAGCAAGGTATTAGTTATTGGTTCATAGAGGTTCTGAAGAGTATGATTAAATGGTTTGATATTTTTTTTTCTTAAAAAAAAAATCAGCAAAACAGTATACTTGTAGTAATCGACTCATTTTTCGGAAAACGCAACTTAATGATAAAGCAAAACATGAAAGTAATAATAGGAAGCATTTATTAAATGATTCGGAATCTTCAAAATTCTATCATCAGTAATCTAGAGGTACAAAACAAACAAACAATATTTGTAATTACAACAGAAATATGATATACATAAGAAGTAAACAATTTGAACATACAAAGTATAACAAGAGAAAATGAAAATATATAGCACAAATGAAATAGTTAAGTTAAAATAGATTTAAATCAAATGAAGAATGTGTATTATTTTGGGATGAAAGAAAAGTTTTTATGTATAATGTTTCTTTTATTAGAAGTTCAGTATCATGTTTGGCTGTTGAGATAATTTTAAGGTTGAAGAGAGAAATTGGATGCCCTGTTTCTGTGCTGTATAGGAGGACTTACAATTTCCGCATGTGTATAAGTAGACAAGATGTGAACAAAGAGAATACTTTGTATGCCAACTTCCCATTGTTCACATCTTGTCCAGTTATACACGTGTGGAGACTGAAAGGCCTCCTATATTGGTGAAACCAAACATCACCTTAAAGTACAAGCATATGAACACATGGGCATATCTATAAAAACTGGAAGAAAGGTTACAAACCCTCCCAATTCTGCTATCTTTCACCACAACACAGAAACAGAGCATCTGGTTTCTCTCTCCAACTTTAAAATTCTCTCAACAGCCAAACACGATACTAAACTTCTAATAAAAGAAACATTATACATAAAAACTTTTCTTTCATCCCAAAATAATACATATTCTTCATTTGATTTAAATCTATTTTAACTTAACTATTTCATTTGTGCTATATATTTTCATTTTCTCTTGTTATATTTGTATG